AAATGAATCTGGAGTGTTTTAATTTTCCTCTGATCCTGCGGTTTCTTCTTGCAGGGACAGCTTTTTCTGAGTCACAGTGCAGTTAAGCGGAAATCCCAGGAGAGACAAAAAGAGCTGAATGAGCTGGTCCAAGCTGTGAAGGACTTCAAGGTGTGGAAATAAGACTAGAAACCAAGTATCTCTACTGACCACAGTGCTGTCTAGTACATGTTGTGCTTTGTGGTACTGTAAACTCATAAATTACTTGGTTAAATTCCAACTACTGCTTTCAGATTAATACAGCTTTTATAAGAATAACTGCCTCCTTAATGTGCTTTATACCGTAAGGTGAAGACCCTACAATCATACAGAGATGATTCATATGAGTTATACAAATGTTTTTTTCTATTAAGAGCATTAACAGGCTTTAATCCTATATTTTCAATGTACCTACTACAAGAGATTCAGTCAGCAACTGGAATTGGCTGACTGGCCCATTTCATCTGTGTGCAACAGGCACATAGTTGCATGTACACTTTGAGATATTGTTTACATGGAAACTTTTCACAATGAGTCAAGATGCAAAGTAAACTGCAGATGAATCACGACAAACACATTTTTAACAGCAAACCTAATTGGTCACTTAAAGGAGCTAATGAGGACAACATGAGTAAAAATAAAGCGCTCCAGAAAATACTTGGAGTAAAAATCAGAAATTAAAATCCATCAATGAGACACTAACTATTATATATTTACTAAATGCAGTGGCTACATTTTATTTTCTTTATATTGGTTTATGAATTTTGCCTCAGTTTTCTAAATTCGCCTCCAAAAAGTATTTTTTTTTCCTAATCTAAACCTTCTTTGTGTAAAACAGATTTGTTGTCAGACTGCAATGGAGTCCAAAGACCAGCTCTTTGAAGAGCTGATCTCCTCCATACAAAAGCAACGTACTTTAATAAAGCAGCTGATTGAGGCTCGAGAGAAACTAGCAGTTGTTCAGGCAGAAGCTCTGCAGCTACAGCTGGAGGAGGAAATCGCCAGGCTGAAGAAAAGAGACGCTGACCTGGAACAGCTTTCTCATACAGAAGATCACATTCATTTCATTCAGGTAGGAAATGTCTTTTGTGTTGTAGGCCAACCTATGTTTCTTTCTAAAATTCTGTCACCCTTTAGACTCTATATTTAATTCAGTGTTTTATAACCAAAAACGTCACATCTGGAGCTGTAAAAGCTCAAATGGTTGTAGAGGAAAACCTGTTTAAACATTACCTCATGAAGACATAAACACTGCACTATCACTATTTTGTTAATTGCCATGTTTTGTAGCGCTCATTTCATGTAAGGCCATCAAAGCTTCACACCCGAGCAAAGAAAAGTTGGAGTGAAAGAGAAACCTCCTAATGTGACAACATTGTAACTTCTTGCTGGGGAGTTTATGAGGATACATAAATTTGATTTAAAATGTGCTGCCGTGCAGCAAATGTTCATAAATGAATATGAGCATTTCAAAAATTTACATAGGAAAAAAATGAGAGGGAGGATGAATTTTGTATATTGTGTGTGTGTGTGTGTGTGTGTGTGTGTGTGTGTGTGTGTGTGTGTGTGTGTGTGAGAGAGAGAAAACACTGCAGAAAGTAAAATTAGAGACAGTCCACCATTGTACAAATGTAGAAATTAATTTCACTGAAACAATAATGTGGTGCATAGCAAAATCTGCATTTTAAAAATACCCGTGTACATGTGGATGTAGCCTGAGAGCTGATACTGATGGAGCCATATTGGAACAAGTCTTGAAAAACAAGATCTATTGTAGAAATACTTTTTTGAGAAAAGCAGGGAGCTGAAACTTTGCACACATCCTATTGGGATTTTTTTCTTTTTCCTTTATAGTTACACATAAAATGTTTGTTTGGTTTTATTTAAATATGTTATATATGTATATATGTTCAAAAATTAATTTTTAACCTAACTTTTGTTCTTTTTTTTTATTTTTATTTTTTTATTTCCAGCTCTTCCAGTCTCTCTCCATCTCATGTGAATCTCCAGACTTGCCAACAGGGGCTGTTGTTCGTCCTCAACATTCAGTGGAAACCGTGACCAAATGTCTGACTCAGCTGAGAGATGACATGAAGAAGCTTCTGGAGACCACATGGCCCAAGATCTCTGCAACAGGTACCTGAGAGAAATATCCATCTACTTGATTCCACTTAATCCAGTATTATTCATTTATTTTGTTCCTATCAGTTTTTGGTATAAAAGTTGTGCTGCCACCTGTGCCAAAGACCAGAGAAGAGTTTTTGTGCTGTAAGTATATCAGTATATCTAAGCAGTAATCTCTTACTAAATACTAGAAGGCTGATGATATTCTTGGTTTGCTTGTCTATCAGATCACTGTCCTCTAACACTGGATCCCAACTCGGTCAACAAATACTTGGACCTTTCACAAGATTCTCAACGAGTGACGAGTGGCTGCTATGAGCATTTTCATTTATCTCACTCGGACAGGTTTGGAGGTGTGAAGCAGGTGCTGTGCAGAGAGGGTTTAACAGGGCGGTGCTATTGGGAGGTCAGTTGGAGTGGTGGCGTCTGGTCAGTGGCAGCGTCTTACAAAAACATCAGCCGAACATCGTTCGACTCAGAATTTGGGAAGAATGACAAGTCCTGGAGTTTGGAGTGCTCTGCAAACGGATATACTTTCAGACATAACTTAGTAACCAAGGCAGTGTCAGGTCCTCGAACCTCTCAGATTGGAGTGTACCTGGATTACAGGTCAGGTACTCTGTCGTTTTACAGCATCTCTGACATCATGACTCTGCTTCACAAAGTGCGCACAGTATTCACTCAGCCTCTCTATCCTGGCCTTGGGCTGAAGGAAGGAAGCTCTGGCTGTTATGCAGAAGTGAAAAAGTTGTGATGCCAACTTTTTCACCTCTACCATGTTGAATAATGTCTTTCAAGGCCTAATATAAGCAGTGTAGAAACCTGTGAGCTCATTGAACTTGACACTTATTTGTTATATGCTGAATGACTTGCACTGTTTGGCTGTTGAAAGGCGTGACAGGTGCTCTATCCTCACCAGGCAGGTGTAGAGTTGTGGTTCTAGATTGGAACATTAGATAAATAAAATCACTGCTAAGGAAATATAAGAGTTTGTTGCTTTAAGTAATATCATTAACCCAGGTTTGTTTTTGTTTTCTTTTGCTGTTTTTTGTTTTGTTTTTTTAAAGTGACTTTGAACGGTCACTTTATAAGCTACATGCACCTAATTGTCTTTGTTCTGTTTTGTCTTTAATGCCTGGGGGAAAAAGTGTTACGTTTGTGTTGGTGTATGGTATAAAATATAACTGCTAAAGAAAACATTTGTCAGAGACTTTTCATGTCAGAATTAAAATATTCACAATAAAGAGCAGTAATTCAGTGTCTCAGATTTTGGCAAAACACGCAAACTGTACACTTTCCACACAGTGAGTAGAATCTAGACTTCATAAGAAACCAAAGTTAAGAACACAGTGCACATAGAACTTAATTTGCTAATAATGAATGGCTTCAGATGATGCCAATATTGCATAGCACAGATGCTGTATTGCAATAGGGTATCATGACCAAAGTCTAGAAGATTCAAAAGTGAGCTCAAAGCTTTCTTTACTTTCTTGCGTCACAAAGTTATTGTGACCTTTGTGACACTTTCATCAAGGTACTTCCCGTGTCCAAATTCAAGGGTAGCATGCTTCAAAGCCTGCATTTGTAGGCAATCACGTCACAGCGACACAATGAAGGCTGTCCAAATTGGAAGACTCCACCAAATGTGGCTTCTTTTCCCCAGAGTTGAAGGATGGGTCGGGTGTATCCTTTGTGGTCCACCATATCCCAGGATTCATTTCGACCGGAAAAATGCAGGAATGGAATATAGGCCAAACTGTCCAATTTCAGTTGCTCATTTCCGCCCCAACCAGCCTTCGAACGACCTACCCCACTTGAACCGGGTAGGCCAGGTCCTTCAAAGCATGCTACCCCTGAATTTGGACAAAGCCACTGTCCTCATTTCTCAAGGGTTTGATACACTAATGGCTGCTTTCATGGGATGCCCCTCCTATTTATCTCTGTTTGTGCCACAAAGGAATAATGGAGGGGAGGGATTGCTAGTATTTAAAATGTTGTAAATGCCTTGTTAGCCCATGATTTGTTAATGATCTATCTTGTGTTATCAGGTCATTTTGAGCCAGGTATTACAAGGTAGAAGTTTTTGGCTATGATATGCTCTTATATACTTTTTTTTTCTTTTCCATGGTAAAGCGTGTAAGTGATTTAAATTCCCACCCATGTTTACACCTTGGCTCTTGTGATGACATGATCAAAACTGGGACAGCTCCCACTAGGGCTAAAATATCTAGAAGTGCTGTGCTTCTATTTAGACATGTGCTAAGTGAAAACCTGGCACGTTTACCTCTTTGTATGTTGTGTCTTTTAATAGTCTGCTGTTAGTCTAATATTGTTAATGGCACTTATGACCAACCAGTGTTAGTAAGCAAAATCTCTCTCTCGCTCTTTCGGTGTAATCTATATTGATGTACATCATGCGCCACTAGGCGGCAGTACTTACCCACTAAACGGGAAGTGTGTGGCATGTAAAACAGCACAAGAGTAAGCTGTATTAAAGAAA